CGTCCCGGGTTCGCCTCCACCCGCCGTTCTGTCACCCGCGTCCCGTCGTCTCTGCCTTGGTGTCCCCCTAGAATCCGGCCCTAGAATCGGTCCCTCCCCAGTGCCTTCACCCTGGCTATCGCCGTTCCCTCCCCCGGGGCTCCGTGCTCGCAGGTGCCCCCTTCGCTGTGGTCACAGCGGCGGCCAGAGCGGTCCTGCTACCTCCCGAGTCGGATGAGCCGGTCCCGTGTCCAGGACCCTCGGCAGGCAGTCCCCGTGCAGAGGGAAGCTGGCACCGAGCCCTCTCCCGAGCCTCGCTTCTCTGAGTAGCGCCCTGAGGTGCTGCTTGGCCCCAGCAGCACCCCAGCCTCTTGGCGGACCTCCCGTCCCGCGGCCCCATTGCCGGGGCCTGCATGCCAACAGGTCTTCACATTCCAAGGCAGTGCTGCTGCTCCCTGGGAGCAAGAACATGGCTTTCATTCAGCAGCTCTCCAGGCTGTGGCAGGAGGGGCGGCTGGGGAGGGAGGCCCTCGCGGGCAGGGCTGGGGGCTGGGTGCGATGGCCCAGATCTGTATGTTCACCGACGTGCAGCGTTTGAAGACTTGCGGTTGTCTGTAGGTGACGAATCGGAAGTATCCGAAGCTGAAAGAAGTGGATGACGTGCTGGGTGGGGCGGCCGCCTGGGAGAACGTGGACTCCACGGCAGGTGAGAGGGGAGGCTTGTGCATTGCTGAGCTGTGGGTGAGCCCGAGCTGCTGGCTGCTGCTGCATGTCAGAACCTGTGACCGCTTATGTGAGGGGGGCTTCTAAAACCAGAAAGTGCGATTGTTTTTTTTTTAAATAACTTACTTGTTGCACAGATAATACTGGCACAGGCCTTGGAGCCACACAGACCTGAGTTAGAGACTGGGGGTGACTTCTTCCTGTTTGACGGCCTTGGGCCCCTTGACCTCTCTGGGGCTAATTTATACTCATAAATTGTAAGAGCACAAAGCGAATTATGCAGTGTTTGGCACGTCACGGGCACTGAACATGTGGTAGCTATGATAGCAACACTGACAGGAGCAATAGAAATCAGTCTAAGGGGAAAAAATATCCTCTTTTTGTTCTAATGCAGAGTTTTAAAAGTTAATACCAGAGAGCATTAAACTACAGTCTCAGTAAAATGAATGTTTATTTCAAGTATTGGTTTATTTCTGATAGAGGTTTATTTCTGACCAAAGAAGGACAGAGAGCCCTACACACAGCCAGTATTGATAGGAGAGTACTAAGTCATGATTAGTACTCTCTTTCCTCTATAGATGAACATCCAAATCTGCTATGTTAAAAATTTAGCAATGGTAGAATTTGTCATTAAAGAATGGATTATGGCCCTAGCTGGTTTGGCTCAGTGGATAGAGCGTCAGCCTGTGGAATGAAGGGTCCTGGGTTCGATTCCAGTCAAGGGCACATGCCCGGGTTGTGGGCTCTTTTTTTTTAGGAGGCAGCCAATCAATGATTCTCTCTCATCATTGATGTTTCTATCTCTCTCTCTCCCTCTCCCTTCCTCTCTGAAATCAATAAAAATATGTATTTTTCAAAAAGAATGAATTATGTATCAAATGTTCAAAGTGGTGGTGTGAGAGTGTTTGGAGGTGTTTTCATCAAGAGCGGGGTTGGTTTCTCAAAGTGAGATCACTCTGAAGGTAAATACGTGCCTCAGCGCACTCTGAATAGGCGTGGACTGCGTGCTGAGGTCTCGGTAAGAACAGCTGAGATAATTTCAGAGCAGAAGGGAGAGGGAGAGAGGGATAGAAGCATCAATGATGAGAGAATCTGCCAAAATGGATCCCTAAACACAAGAGGAAGTGGATTGGTCATCCTTGGGGTTTTCTCGGGGGGGATGAGAGGGCTTGTCTGCTGCCCAGGTGATGGGTGTGCACCTGGAATGGAGGAGGCGGAATCTGCAGGCGTGGACCCTGTCATTCACACAACAGCCATAAGTCACCTTTTGTGTTTTGTTTCCAACCAGCCTTCCACCAGATTTGAGAGGAAAAGTGGGACCCAGGGAGGGGAGGAGGGGTGTTTTCAAACTCCTGGATTCCCTCAGTGTGAGAGCATATTGGGAATGAGACGAGACCACTGTTGGTACCTTATATCAGGGTACAAGGGACACCAGATAAGCCAGGAAGGTCTTTGCTGTCATTCGCCTTAACACCTAGTTCTAACAGGTATGTTGGTCACAAACATTTTTTTTAATGTGGGTCCCTTGTTTATTTTTCTTGTTTCTAGAGCCGTGTCCCAAATGTGAGCATCCACGTGCCTATTTCATGCAGCTTCAGACCCGCTCTGCGGACGAGCCCATGACCACCTTCTACAAGTGCTGCAATGCGCAGTGTGGACACCGCTGGAGGGACTAGGGCCAGGCTGGCCCAGCTGCGTGGTGTCTGTTTACCTTATTCCTCAGAGTGGGTTTCCAGCTGGGAGCGAGCACTTGTGTCCTGAGGGCCTTTGCTGGTGTGGCGGAAATGGGTAGCCCGTCTGCTGTTGTTGGCCTGGGTGTCCGGAAATGGATAGCCCATCTGCCAATCAGTGGATGAACTCATTAATGTCCAGGGAGATTTTGCATGTGGGGAAGATTATCCACAACTAATTATACTTTGTTTAAGGTCCTGTTCATTCATCGTTCACATTTATTGGGCAATTGACATTCTTTTACCATCAACCAACACTCTTAAATATTTATATTGTTTGCATAACTAATAAAGTAAAACTTACTAATTTAGTACATTAGTTGTTCCTAAATATTTAACTGTTAAGTGGAAACTTATTTAATCAAAATTTATTCTGAATATTTAATTAAAATGAAAAATTTAATATTGCCTTCTCAGTGTTTTAAATGACTTAAGAAGTAGATGTCAAACCACAAATCATGATTCCAAACTTAACTACTATACTTAGGACTAAACCGGTTACAAAATTTCTAATACTGTGGATTTAAATTTTTTATTTCTATTCTTATCATTACACTAAATATATTAGGTACTATGTTTTTATACTTTGTGTTTTCTTCTTCCACTCCGGAAAGAAAAAGGACACTTTATACTAGCTTGGGGCAGCCCTGGCTGGTATAGCGCAGGTGGTTGGGTGTCATCCTGTGCACCAAAAGGTTGGTGGCTAGATCTCCCGTAGGGGGCGTGCAGGAGGCAGCCGATCAATGATTCTCTCATCATTGATGTTTCTATCTTTCTCTCCCTTTCCCTTCTGCTCTGAAATCAATAAAAATATATTTAAAAAAAAGAAAATAATGGATACCATTTTGTTTAATTGGGGTTTAAAGTTAGTTGTGTTTCTTGTCATCAAAATTTAATGCAAATGTGTATCTGTTAATGCTAGTTAAGTACATGGATTCATGGTTGACATTCAATACTGACGAGAGATGCACATATTTCCCTCAAAGTACTTGCTGATGAGTAAATACAGTGAAAAACCATAGGCTTTAAGCACTTTATGTTTTTACAAGCTTTGTAAATGTGTCCTCCTTTTTCATGCTTCATGTATATTTTTTTACCACCGTCAATGATAACACATATTAGCAGATTTCACTTCAAGTTCTACTGAATTAGTATCTCCTCAACTTTGAAAACATTCTTGCCTGCAGCGGTTCGTTGTTCCTTGCAGACTGTGCATAGAGGCGAGTTCTTCAGTCCACTTCTGAACTCAGCATTGAAGTGTTAACTGCTCGAAGACACAAACAACCATTGAGCAATTTCACTAACATCTGCGGATTCAGCCAGAGCCAAGAAAAATGACTTCAAAGCATTCACCTCATTTTTAATTGACCATTAATGTTGCCGCCAGTGTCCTTAAGTTGTAAGACAACTGTTTTCACCTAAAGGCTGATCGTCTTAATTTCATTTTCTCGGGACACACGTCTTTAGCTGCAGCAATCAAACACAATTAAGTCACCGTAAGTAAGTAGATTTCCTTGCTTGGTGAACAAATGAACCACTTGGAAATTTAATTTGGTTGTCTCGTTTTAACTTATAATTTTTGTGAAGAAATTTGTTGTGTATGGAGAATAGTGCCAGCGATGGGTGCTTAGTCTGGTAATGTCAACTAGCTGTGGTGTCACTGCACAGTAAACACAATCCTTTGCCATCCAATTTGATGACAAAATAACCTACTCTACACCATGCCTTAAAAGCGTAATGTTTATATAAGTTCACTTAAAAATTTTTTAATTTTTATAAGTTGAGGTAACATTGCTAATAACGTTATATGTAAATTTCAGGTGAACAGCATTATTTGATACCTGGATACTCTATTGAGTGCTCATTCCCAAATATCTAGTTTCCTTGCATCACCATATATTTGACCTCTTTTACCCATTTTGCCTCCCCCACCCCATTTCACCTTTAGTAACTACCATTCTGTTCTCTGTGTCTATGAGTTTGTGTTTTGTTCATTCATTTGTGAGTTTTTTATTTTATATCCCACATGAGTTAAATCATATGGTTTTTGTCCTTTTCTGTCTGACTTATTTCACTTAGTATAATACCCTCTAGGTTCATCCATGTCACAAATGGTAAGATTTCATTCTTTTTCATGGCTGAGTAATATTTCATTGTATATCTGTACCACAATGTTATCCATCCATCTTTCAGTGGACACTTAGGTTGGTTCCATATCTTGGCCATCCTATCTAATAAAAGACAAAAAGGGTAATTGACCGTACTTTCGCTACGCTTCCCATTGGCTAGTCAGGGCGATATGCAAATTAACTGCCAACAAAGATGGCAGTTAATTTGCATACATAGGCTCAATGATGGGAGGCGAAAGGGGAAGGAAGGGGAAGGACGGAAGAACAGTGATCGGACACCCAGGTGGCAGGCAAGAGCCGGGTGGCAGGGCAAAGGCGGCCCTGGGGGCCGCCTTTGTCCTGCCCCCAGCCCTGGATTGGAGAACTGGGCTGCCTTTGCCCGCCCCCCAGCCGGTGATCGCGATTGGAGATCACAGAGCT